TGTACGTTTGGGGCAGTTCTCATAATTTTTAAACGGTCTTCAAGCGGCACGTATGGCAACTTGATCGAGCAGGGGAACAGATTTTTGTACGTTCGGGACAGTTCTTATAATTTTTAAACGGTGTTCAAGCGGCACAGGGCAATTTAATTGGACAGGGAAACAAATTTTTTGTACCTTTATGCAGTTCTTATGATTGACGGTTTTTAGGTGGCTTAGTAGTGTGCTTCCCGGGGAGGGATCTACTTATGTAGTAAAGCTTCATACTCCTTTGGCGAAAATATCGAGAAATTTTCTGACAAAGTTCTTAGACGATTGATTTCGTTACTGTCGGAGTTGATTCTGAGAGAAAAGTGTTTTTTGTGGTACACAATTGTTGTGGGTGTATTTCTCTTCCAAAACGATAGGTGTTCTTCTATTTCCTTGACGATCTTCAATGGAAATTGTTGAAAAGAACTGGAAGAGCAAATTTTCTTTGAGGGGTAGAAAAGATGGAGGGGGGGGTATCTGAATGTCTTTGTGAGGAGGGGAAATTTGCAGAAAGAGCGTGGTAAACGAGAGAAAAATAACACCCCATGCATGTTGCAGCAGGAATTTCGAGAAATGCTGAATGATTTGTGGAGATTAGTGCTTCTTCGAACAGTTCTCCTTTTGTAGAATGCTTCGCAAAGATGTTCTCAGCAAAGGCATAGGAAACTTATTTAGAAATATTTATAATCACAACTAAGCCCTTATAATGTACCTGCCCCTACCCACTTGCTAGCGACCCCTAGGGTCGCTAGTATATGTATATATATAACCAAAAATATATACACTTATGCGATGCCGAGATTAATTGATAGTCGATCCTGGATAATGATGTTCAGATCGTTACTCTAAAAAAATCGACAAGATGAGTTTGCACTTCTCGAAGCTATTCCCCGAGCCCTGAATGGAGGTTGAGCAGACGAATAGCCTGCTTCTCGTTTCAGGTCTGAGTATCACTTCTGCAAGTCTTTATTCTGCCAACTTAGTTGCTGTTCAGCAAAACCGTCAAAAGCACGATCTACAACAGAAGCACCTGTTTCTGTAATTCTTTTACAGGGAAAACTCATTTTCTTTTAAACGTCACTCGCTTCGCCGGAAAGTTATTGGCATTTTATCAACGCGACTGCGCGGAAGCGAAAGGCACGCCTTACCATTTGTAATTATAGGTCACCCTATATATAACTGTGGCGGTACAGTAAATCTCACAACTTCCAGATTTCTTCTGGCCTAAATTTATGGCTTCCACTCGTGCAATGGCGTCCGCTTCCACTCAGCAGTAAAACATTTTGACCCGCAACCTTGCCCAGACACTTCCTTTGAAGGCATCCGTGTACGTGTAAGACTTGACACTCTCCCCTCCATAGAAACGTCTTGGAATATTTCCATTTTTCTGGAAGTTGGGATAGTGCCTCGAGGCGGATGGGCTTACCGAACAACAAATTTTCATATAGATTTATTGCAACGGTCCTGACTGATGAGCAAGAAAAGATAGAAAGATAATTAGAAAGTAGATGGGAACATGATGAGTACCGCATAACTTAAACATGTGTGGCTAAGAGATCAGAGGAAACAATGACATCCAAACCGTAGATTTACTAAACTAATAATTAGATTTGACTACTCATACATCGTTATTAACAAATTCTTACTTAGAACGGTCATAGGTTGTCGGGAACGGTTGTCGGTGTTGACGGTGTTGTCCGTGTTGCCGGACTCTCAAGTGCCGCTCGCTTGGACGCGTTTGCTGAGACCCTAATTTCATAAGAAAATATTTTATTAAATTTCATTGCATAGTCGCCATTAATCTCATCCTTTTTGCCATCCCCACCTCCATTAACATGATGCTCCTCTTTCAGCACTTAATGCATGTCTTTTTGAATGTTTTATATGGAGATCAAGATAGTTGCGGGCGCACTTGAGAGTTCGGCAACCTCGACAACGCCGGCAACCCCAACAACACCGACAACCGTTGCCGGCAACCTATGGCTGTTCCCTTAACATGCAGTGTTGGACAAAGCTACAGCAGAACAAAAACACCACACCAACCCTTGTCTAGCAACCTCATCAATAAAAAGTAGGAACGAGTAAAAGGTACAGCCCTATGACCAAAAAGAGATTAACGCAAGCATCAGGGCAAGAAAGGTCAACTGAATGTAGGTAGTACACGAAATAAAGCGACAGATGCCTCAAGAACATTGCCTTCAGTTTCCAAGCACACAAGTTCTATTACAGAGGCCAAATTTGGTGTCGTGTCTATACGAGGAGCTTTTTTTTCCGTATCCTTCGGGATCATTAACGACTATTGATAATAATAAGAAGGCTCTGTGCTCATATCAAGATCGCGCATTAACACTCCATCCCCACCAAATTTTATTCAAGAGAAAGCTTTACTCCGAGACTAGTACAGCGTACAAGGATTTGCTAGTTTGCAGGCTATCCACAGAATACTGCTCATAAAAATGCAGAATTTCCGATGATGTCGCAACATTCCGCGGCTGCGGTGACCGGACGACATTACGTGTATTCCACGAAATCACGCAAATTAGCGCCGAGACTGCCTTCGAAATGAATATCCGATCCGAAGTATTGTGCTAAGCTCAGTAGGCACTGATTATAAGCCGCATTGCCTTAATAATCCATTTTCAATTTTCTTAGATTTTTTGCGGACGTTTCGAAGTGTAATCAGCACATCGCACATAAAAAATTCCAAAAAGACTTTCATAGGGCTGTTTCCGTAAAATATCGACTGCTAACAAGGGAAGGAAGGAGGGTCGAAGTGGCCTTTTAGAATGAAGTGGGTATCATCTTGTAGGGCTTCGAACGCTGATTTCAAATCTGCCTTCCTTATCTGCGGCGCGTTTTTGGGCGAGGAGTTATGAGGGTTTGTAGGGGGCGGAAGTCGATTCAGGTATAATCAAGGACATGACATCTCTGTGTGCTGTCTGGTGTAGTGGTCAGTATGATGGTCTTGCAGGCAGAGGCTCCCAGGTTCGAATGTCCTGTTGTGGTTTTTCTTTTGCTGGTCTTCAAAAAATTTGTACGAACATGCGCATCGTCTGCACATCACCTCTTCCTTCTTTTAACTGCAAATCTCTTCAAAAAGGCTTCAATACTCTATGTTTTCAAATGTCCATGTGCACTGATAAAAGGAGAGGACAAAATGTGCAAAACATAGGCATTTTTCACAATGAGAGCAACGAATGAAGGCTACTTCTGAACAATCCGAATGGTCACAGTCTCCTATCAAACTGGAATGGAAGCAGTACCGTCCAGGCGTTTCAAAATCTCCCGGATGTGCATCAAGGTAGAGCTGAACATTGTCGAATATGTTGATAACATAACCTCTTACGTTCACCCGGGTATTACGTAACAAATTGATTCTTTTGACATTTCTACCTCCACTTCAAATCACTTGCAAAGAACTTCAGAGAGAGCAGTTGTTGCCTCGAGATTCTGATAAAAACAGGGTGTGGTATATGGACGCTGCCCTGCTCATACAAATTTTTGTATGACCAGCAAAACGAAAACCATAACAGGAGATTCGAACCTGGGAGCCTCTGCCTGCGAGACCACCACACTAACCACTACACCAGACAGCACACAGCGGTGTGCTGTCCTTGATTATGCTTGTATCGACTTCCGCCCCCTAAAAACCCTCATAACTCGTCGCCCAAAAACGCGCCGCAGATAAGGAAGGCAGATTTGAAATCAGCATTCGAAGCCCTACAAGATGATACCTACTTCATTCTGAAAGACCACTTCGACCCTCCATCCTTCCCTTGTAAGAGATATGCGGAGTAATTATTTTCAAAGATATAAAAGAGCTGGTGAATTTTAAAAATCATGTCCTTATAAATTTCACTCCCCAAAGTCCTAAAATACGAGGCTCTCTTACTAAGCAGATGTGATTTTCGTATACAGCAGTCAGATAACCTCTATGAGCCGATGATCTTGGCTATGTTGATGATCTTGAATTAAAAAAGACTCGCTTTTAGAGGGTCTCGGACGCGCTGTTCACGAAAATCGTGGTCTTTGTGGAGTACAATTCCTTTAGCAGAATTATGGTGAGGAAGCTGTAGCCAATCCATGAAAGTGCTTACGAAGTTACGTTATTGCCTATGCGAAGATCGCATACTTCGTCAGAATAAGTCGTGAGTGGTTGTATATCATGCTCACTGCAAATCTAATGTAGACTTTGCTCAAGGGATACTACTGTATGGGATACGATAGTTAGATAGAGTGGGCTTCAGCAACCTATTGATATTGAAGCAGCTTCGTTGCTAGAATCGGAATCCTAAGAAGTCGCGCGATCGCCGGAATATCGTGCGACACCATGCCTCGGAATGTCGCGGCATTACCGGAAATTTTGCACATTCTGTGAACGGTATTGCATGTGGGCTCCTCTGATACGCAAAGCTATGGCACGCGCCATACTTGATCATCTTGATCCATTTCGAGTGGACAACCGCTTCGCTATTTGTCAGTTCACTGAATTGACTAATGGAAACGGACCAAGTATACCGGGTGCGTATGCATGACGATTTCATCTTTGTTGATACACAACATGCATACTGCTCCGGTAAGCCACTCAAGCTTTACACAGAGCAAGATAATCTAAATATATATATGCGCAAAACCAATTTTGCATTGAGCTGTTAGCTCCGCAGAATCCACTGCAATGGATAAGATATTCTAAAAGTGGCTTAGGAGACCAAAGCAAGAAAATGGACTTCCATCGAGTGTCGTATATCTTTGTCATGGCAAAACAGTGTTCAAATTTGCTTCCGATATCATTCCAACCAAAACAAACCTACAACATGAAAGATCAACTCGTCCCGATAAAGAAAAAAAGCTCTGAGCCGTGTTCATACACGGCCAGCAATTTCCATAACTATCTTAACTACTTAAATTCTGATAGAGCGACGGACTGCGGCGTTAAAGGTCTTCTAACGGCTTCAAAGATCCTTTACAATTGATTATGAGAAGAAGCTCATGAAAACGGCAGGAGACTGCAGAAATTTGCATCTTTAAAAAAATTATTGCATTAGGAACATACACAAATGATTCCCGTACTGGACATATACGTCAGCACTATCACGGGTAGTGAAGCAGAGATATGATGGTATTTTGGTCTAGGTGCTTTCTATAAGAGCTGTGCAGTAGTGAGCATTTCTACCTAGTGATACTGGATCGACAGAGGCGCGAATCAGTCTCACGCAATCCATACTTCAGCTGCGTCGTGTGAGTGTCATCCATGTCAACGCTGCTTCCTGACGCATTGTCGCTATTTTCCTCTCGACTAGCAAAAACTCCTTTTCCTCTGCTGAAAAGTATCATGTAAAAATCAAGGCGAACCGATGTCGATTTTTGCTAACACATTCACGAACAGGCCATATTTGCGGATCCTGTTATTTCTATTCGCGCTTTATTGCATTTTCAAACTTACATCCAGTACGTGATCGTCGAATTACCAGGAATAGAAACGATTTCGGAAGATTTTAAAACGCACACTCAGATAAACTTAAATGGTCAATTAAGTGCTCACTGCAAAAATGACATCGCATCATAATGTATAACTACAGCAAAATGAACGCTATGAGACGGATTTTCGCTGAAAAATATCGTTCTAGGGTCTTTTCAAATGATACCGAAGAAAACTTCTGTAGATGTTACAAGCGCATTGGGAAGCCCGAAAAATTTTCGAAGAGTGTGGCTAACGCCATGCCTCTGCGTTCAAAAATTTCTGACGCACTTTCCAACGGCCATGCCGTTGACAACTGGTAGCGGAAACAACTTTCGCAAAAAAAGCGGCAGAGGAGAAGAATCACGAGCATATGCTTCACTGGCTCCCACTAAATCGGAAATTGTGCTTATCCGAGCCTACTCACTATGCTGAATTCGAAAATCACGCTAGGGAGCGCGAAAACGGCGAAAAGGGCTCTAACGCAGGAGGGAAATCAGCAGGTGGGTCTTCCCCACTGTGAATTCAGGGGGACGGCCAGGAGGTACGATCGGCGCGAATTTTTCGCGAAGCGACGCCGCATCGCACTTCAGCCCCTTCAACTGCAGCGCTCCTCGCGCAATCTTACTTATAGCATTAAGTCATGTATTTGCCCCTCCCCTCACCCCTGTTTTTGTCGCCGGGAATCTCTAATGGCGAAGAGTTTCGGAGGCTCCAAGATTTGAACGCGACGTGTGCGGAAGAGCGGCCGCCGCGCGCGGGGTACCTTCTGACGTGCAGCCGTAAATTCACACTCCCAGCTTCCGGAGCGATCTTCTCGATTCCGCTAGCCGCTCTGGCATCGCCAGCGGCCAAGCTCAAACGCGTGACTTGAAATCGGAACGAGAAGATCGCTCTGGGAGCTGGGATAGTGAACTAATAGCGGGGAGAAGACCTCGCCCATCTGGTGATTTCAGCCCTTTTTCGCCGTTTTCGCCCTTTCGGGAATTTTTGAATACAGCATGGCGAATAGGCTCGGGTAAGCGCAATATCTCAAATTGACTTATTGTCCGGACACAGCCTTTAACTGGCCATGGTTGCGTCCGCTGCAAAATTCTTCAGCACGAGCGAGACGGTGTTTGACAGCATTGGAAGCTGACCACACTGGTAGAACTTACTAATGTTCAATGAGAATTTCTTCTTGTTAGAACCTTACCCTCACAGTTTACAACTCACCGTTCACATGTCATGCATTCGCACTTTTCATTATTTTCTCCAAAAAAGTCTTCGCCATAAAAGCAGGTTATTTCATCGCCAGGCTTCAAATCACGTGAAACCTGTGATCACACTATATCATCGACCGAAACATCATAAAGGGCAGATATCTGTTTTACCTGGATGGACGCCGTGTGCCCATTAGGCACGAATCGGCAACTCGGTCTGCAGTCATGATTGATATACGCTCCCGGACCTAGCCATAACTGAGCACACTTTTTCCTTCAATGTTTGACGTGAAAGATATAAACGCCAAACTCCGATTGATACCTCATACTGTACATCACGGAAAAATCGTTCAATCCAGGACGCAATATCTGTTGCTCTTCCTGATCATCTAATTCACTAATCACCCCGCAAAGCCGTTCGATCTTTTCTCCTCGTTGCCTAGATTTGAAATTTGAACCTCAACTCTGAGATTAGTACGAGACGAACTATGCAATGACTCTACTGACCAATGACGAGTGGCAACCAGTTTAGCACCCATGTTCTGCTCGGCAGCGTAACGGTTACATGTGTCAATGGTAAATCCGGCTTTCATAGAGAACACGTTCAAGAAGCGAATCATCTGAAAGTAGTGTGTGATGCAATGATGCGAAATAGAAAACCTGAAACTTGGTTTCTTCAGGTCTTTACTGCTTCATGCTAGCGGGGCACCTAACTAAAATCGCCCATGCCGCTGCAAAAGATAAATTCTAAAGCAAGAAAACCGCTACAGAAGATAGAAGCGGCCACTTTGGTTTCGCCCATCAACGTGGGTGGTCTGCACATACAAGTCCGGAACTGGGCTTCGGAGTAGGTAGAAAGGTCACAAATTTGATGATCATAATGAAAGGACAATTGACAATTAGGTACACTACGGCCCACTTAACTGGTATCCATCTTTTGCAGCGAGACTTGGACAACTTATTTACAGGCACACCCGGGGTAGAGGAACGAACATCTCAATCAGGCACCCGCCATACTTGATCCTCTTGATCCGCTCAATCCACTTGATCCGCCTGATCCGCTTCGTGTAAAACGCGCGCACTCGGCAGTCTGTCATTTGGCGTCACGTACAGCGAATTTGCTTAACTATACGAGATTGCTTTTTACCTACGCGGATCAAGCGGATCAAGTGGATTAAGCGGATCAAGAGGATCAAGTATGGCGGTGCCTTAGGCACCGCCTCCGCGAGCTGCTTTCTTTCGTCGTACTCTTGTGCATCGTGTTAGGACCAAGTGGTTCGTGAAGGCGGTGCCTAACTGAGGTGTTCGCTCCTCTACCCGCAAACCCGGTATGTAACGCTTTCGCGAAACTGTTTCTAAAGGCTTGGCTGAAACACTGCTCAAGCAGGGGCCCGGCACTAGTAGGTTTTTAAAGTTTTTCTAGACGAAGTCATCTTCAATTTCGCTAAAAGCTTATGAAGTCCCTTTTGACCTTGTTCTAAAACTTATCGAATTTGGCGTTTTTACATGTACCGTAAGGCCCCGGACAGACTTCACGCGATTTGATCGTCGCGACTGAATCGCGACGAGACAACTGTTACCATCATTCCAATGCCGATCAACTTGCATTTCGGTTGTGATACTTTTCCAGCCCGAAATTTTTTAATGTGATTTGAAAATGAATAGAAATGTCGGCGATTGAGTCGCGACGACCAAATCGCGTGAAGTCTGTCCGGGGCCTAAGGAGGGAAATGAATCTAGAAATAGACTTGAGCTCAAAACGAACCACATTGGCGAATGAAAGAGTGGTTCTATGAACAGACGAAGGGAAAGTAGAGGAAGACGTTAGGAATGGGTTTTCTAACAATAAGAACTAACTTGAGAGAAGGTCTTACGTAATATAAGTTTTTTAACCCTTTTACATGATACTTCCGTAAATTTCTATTGTAGTACAAAAGTACCAGATGCTTATCTCGTGAACAAGCCATTTGTTTACTTCAGCCTTGCATTTGGATTGCGTGCGCTTTGTGAAGATCACGGTGATCGGTCGCCATTCAGTCGTATAACTCGTACCCCTAGTGGACAGCCTTAAAATTCCTGATTCCTGCGGGTCCCGTAACAATGTACGTTGCGGAAAAACCAGCCCCGTAGTGCGGCACATCGGAAGTCGAGGAAACGCAGGAAGTGCAGGAATTACAGGATTCGCAGAAACCTCCTGGAATAGTATGGCCGATCCCTAAAGCATGTGTTCGTCTGAATGGTCGGTAATATGCTAGCATAGCATGTTTTACGATAACCCTTTGCTTTTTGCCTCCCTCCAAAAACGAAGTCCAGCGGGCTTCCAGCATTTCTGCGATGGGATTTGAACCGAGAAGCGGCGCAAATGGTGCACTCCCGACTGGATATTCACCAAACGACCCTCATACCGTAGAGGGACAACTCAGCATGCATGCTTTCACACAGGGATCCACCACCCTCTTGTGCATCCCATGCAGATATGCATGCTGAAGCGATTGGTATGGACGGTACCTGGGCTCTGGTTTGGGGATGAATTTCTGAGCCGCGAGTGTGCTTAGGCTGCGTCTCAAACATGCTCCAAAATCACTTTCTGTGTGCGATCCCATGTGCCCAGATTTGCCTGAACGCTGCTTGTGAATGGAATTTAGCACCGCTCCAGCGCTAAAACTTCGGTGCAATGAGACGTTCTGGCACAACCTGGTATATACCTTGAGCAAAGACTAACGGAGCGTGACTGAACTAAACATCATGCATTTTCACTGCGGCGGCAGAAGTGCGTACAGTCAGTAATGTCGACTGCAAGCGCAAACCTGTTCGCAATCGATCTGTTTATGGTTTTCAAAACATGTTAAATAGAAATGGAAAGTGCACTGACATGATCTCTAAATTCAAGCTGCTTCTGAAGGGTGAGACGAGACAGAAAATCCTTCACCGATCGTAACGAGAAGAACTCCATCAACGCAAGCGAAAAATCATTCGCTTCGCGAAATTCTCGCATGATGTTTACGGTCATCATCCGTTCGTCTTGTTTTATGTACCTCTTTCTGGAATAAGTAACATGGGCACTTCAAATGCCAAGCTCCAAAGCTCGCTCACCTGGGATGCATTTTGTGCGTTTGAAAATTCAGCACAGAGTCAATGATCAGCGTCGTGGCCATGTCGTCGAAGTAGCACAACTCTTGCGGCGTCAAAGTATGATCACCACTAGGCAAATCGCGGAAGGACAGCAGGGCTGTCGACGGGAAATTGGCTTCATCCTCAGCTTTTCGGTGGGCAGATGAGGGTTTCATCAGGTGCTAAAGCTGTAAAAACAACAGTTATCATTTACAGAACCATGGCAACAGAAAGAATGGATGTCTGCGTCAGCAGGGAGAGGAAACCACAACAAACTGCCCACATCAAGACCGCCTGTGAGCAGTAAAGTGCAAAAAAGCAGCGAGGAGAGCTCATTAAGTGCGTAGTTCCGTCAATTCAGATGTATCAGCGGGAGCACACAGAACACGCGATGAATTACGATGAAATCATTTCATAATTCTAGAAGCGGAATTTGAACAAGTTTTCTCTTTCTTTATCATGAAAAGGCTCTGATGATTTTGAGAGTGTAGGCCGTATGTACCTCTGTTCTAGCCTGCTCACTATGTGTGCTCCTCATGTCATTTGTGTGATTTTTAGTTTCTTCATTCAGTATTGATCTGGTCTATCAGACCAAATATTGGGCCAGTAATCTTTCACTATGTTTTTACAAATCTGATACATTTGCGCATGTTGTTAGTATCACCCATCGGTATTACTGACATCCAAAGAAGTATTATAATTCATCGGCACGCCGGGTCGCCGGGTCTTAGCGGTACACTATGAAAGTATGGATGAAGTATGAAATCCAATGTTATATGCCACAGTCGATGTTGCATGATCTTGCTCGTTCGTGGTTTTTTTTCTGTTCAGCGTAGTGAGCTCTTGGAAATCTTAGGCATCCATCGAAAGCCGTCATGGACTATGATGTTATCGCCAACCAGCCGGTAGTAATTGACAATGGTTCGGGTACCATCAAAGCTGGCTTTGCTGGAGGCCAGTCTCCGAAGGTGCGTTTTGCCAACTTTGTCGGCAGACCAAAACATACGCGCGTGATGGCAGGAGCGCTGGAGGGCGATATGTTTATAGGTAAGTTCTTGATTTGCTAAATTTATGAACTCTTTACTGCTTGAATATATTAGCTAATTCATGTATCGGTCTTGATTACATTCATATCGCTCATGAGAAATTTCCATTCAAGCGTGTCATCGATGAGGCATTGCACTCGTTTATTTATTCCATCAAGGTCCAAAGGCAGAGGAATATCGAGGACTGCTTTCTCTCAAGTATCCTATGGAGCATGGTATAGTCACCGATTGGAATGATATGGAAAAAGTCTGGCAATACATCTACAGCCAAGAACAGATGAATGTGGGTATAAGTGTTTACTAACAAATAATGCTAGAGCATTCCCACCTCAGTGAAATACCTTAAATCTTCTTTTGTTTAGCAGATTGAAATTGTGTGTTCGTAAATCATTTCTCAGTAGTTCGCCATAGGCTATTCATAGTCCAGACCGTACTTTTTATATGCATAGATGAACGCAGTCCATTTAGTTCTTCAAAAACATGTAAGTCTCCTGTGTCCTCGCTAGAAAGCCGGATGGTTGGCAGAAACAAACAGTGTCTGTCATCATACCAAATGTGCTGAAGGTGTCCATTCAATGTCTTATTTCCATACAAAGTTTGTTGAAAAAAACGATGTTCATCCCTTTTTTGTTCTTTGCGCTTAAATTCGTAATATTATGGGGTAGAATGCATAACCGAATGTATATTCAAGAATTTCGGGGTATTTTCGTGATTAATCATCTTCTCAACTCAGTTTTTTTCGATATTTTCTTGTCTTGTTTCTATAATCCTCAAATCTATCTTCTACGAATGATATTTTTCGTACCACTTTTCAGATTTTTCCAGAAGAACATCCTGTTTTACTTACGGAAGCTCCGTTGAATCCGATGAAGCACAAAGAGAAGGTTGGTTTGCTTTATGTATATGGCTGTCATGTATATGATTGGCATCTGGCCGTAACTTGCATCTATTTTCAATCTAAATTCTCACAATCCTGGTAACTTATCGGAACCTCTCGAAGTGCAGTCACTTGATTTTATGTCTATTTCTGCTTTTATTGCAAATATGTATAATATTAGGTTGATGCAAAAATAGTGAGCGTTTTTCAAATTTTCACTTCAACTTGCTATAATTTTCTATACAACCTACGTTTTGAAATGTGCTAAAGCCCCTCGGATGCAGCGAAACTTTCGCAATGCAAAGCACATTAAGTGTACTCACACCTCACGGGCAGAAAAATATGAATTGAAAAACAAAACGAGTCTTTTTTTTTGGAGTCTCGTTTTTGACAAAACATACTTCCTTCACAGTTAGTTAGTACAATTTATAAGTAGCCTATCTTGTAGCCGCAAGTCAGTAGAACAAAGAAGCATGGAAAGCACGTGGAGAAAACAGATCGGCGGTAAGGAAAAAATCAAAATTCAAAAATTTCAACTCCAGCATTTTTTCAGTAAGCCTCAAAATCCCGAATCATAGAATTTTCTGATTTTTTGCGTGCTGAACACTTGAATGCCTTTGCCAGAAGTGTCAACAGAATGCTCTACTCTTCACTTTCACACAAATGAGCAAAACTTTAGGTATTACATTCTATAAAAGAAAGATATGGGCTATAGAATGATCGCAACCATTACCCATGTTAATGCGCCGATAGCTTAGCTTAGATAACTTTGAAAATATGGTTAACATGCATAATGTAGACAATTTCTATTACATATAGTGGCTAAATTTTTGAAAACGCGCCTTGATTTGCGCTTGAATTCTGGCCAGAAAAGTGAATGCAACAAAAATTTGATTTTGAGTGCGATCATTTGAAGCCTTATAAATTCTTAACAGACTAGGCTAAATGTCCGCTGTTTAAGCAGCTTTGCATAGAGCATGAAAAAAGCTTCTCAATAATATGTTGAAGTTTCAAAGGAAGAAGTTTGATTGAGAAAAGTTGTCCAGAAAAAAGTCCTAGAAGAACGCTCATTAATTTTGCATCAATATCACTTGGTGACTTTCACCCGATTTCTTTGCAGGCAGCTGAGATATTCTTTGAGTCATTCAATGTTCCTGCCCTTCACATTCAGATGCAGGCTGTTCTATCCCTTTATTCTTCAGGTCAGTCTGAGTCACTTCGTTTAATCTCGCAACATTATTCAATTTACAGGTCGCACTACGGGAGTAGTCCTTGATTCTGGCGATGGAGTTACTCACGTAGTTCCTATCTATGAAGGTTTCGCTGTAGACCATGCGTAAGTGGTTTTATTTTTGCCACGGCATACAGTTTATCACCTAATAGATTATTAGTTGGATCATACGAGAACAATGCAATAAGTCAGCGGAACATGTGTGATTTATACTATCTTCCAACAATTACAGTATCGGAAGAATGGATGTAGCAGGAAGAGACGTCACTCGATGGTTGCGATTACTTCTGCGGAAGGAAGGCACCGATCTTCACAGAACGAGCGAGTTTGAGATTGTTCGTGAAATAAAAGAGAAAGCTTGCTACCTGGCTACGAACGTGGTGAAAGAGGAAGCAAGTGAGAACGACAAGGTTAGTTAGTCAGTGGGTAAATAGACATTTTATGTGATATGTTAAGCTTATATATTTTCCAGCTTATATATCCTCTGCCTGATGGCTCGCGTCTAGAAATCGGTGCTAGCCGATTTCGAGCTCCGGAGGTTTTATTCCGACCCGAACTGATTGGAGAAGAATGGCCTGGTATAGCTCAGCTCGTCAATGATTCTATACGGGTAGGTGGGCATGTTTCTGCTTTGTTCGTCACTTTCACTGGCATCAGCATAGCAACTTCTCCTTTTCCAATCTTTCGCTCATCCTGGGCAGTGGCTCCGGAAACCTGCACGGAAGGCGGAATTTACGAAAACGAGTTTTAGCAGAGCATCTCCAAATGAACGCTATGGTATCCGTCATAGTTGATCCACTTGATCCGCTTAATCCACTTCAACCACTTCGCTATTGGTCAGGTCAGTGAACTGACCAATAACATAACTTATCGATGTCCACTTGAGTTCGGTGATTTGACCATTAACAAAGCGGCGAAGAGGATCAAGCGGTTCGAATGATCTAATATGGCGTGTGTCTGTGCCGTCGCTGGCGCGCTTTGACTGTGCAGGAACCTGCAGTTAGACGGGATCGAGCGTGACGGCCCGAAGGAAGCTTGAATTTTTTTTTGCTAGATTCAATGAAGTTCCTTGCTAGTGGGGGAGGAGGAGGAGATTGGTTTGCTGCTATTTATGGCAGGGACCGAGCTCGTAGGTTTGATTGAGGGGCCTTCGACATGCATCATAATTATGATTATGACGGTCCGTTTATGCCGAGTCACTGCCTTCGAGCAATTTGCTACCATGTTTTGTTACGTCATGTGTCCTAGTTTTGTTTCAGAAATGTGATATGGACGTACGGAAAACATTATACGGAAGCATTATACTTAGCGGAGGTTCTACGCTTTTCCAAGGTTTTGGCGATCGTCTTTTATCGGAGGTGAGCAGTGATTGCGAATAACATAGTTGTTGTTTCTCCCCGCGCCTATAATGCCCATTTTCTATGAATCATAGTTGAAAATGATTTTGCTCTTTTAGGGCCGCATGCACTAACATTCCCGCTGGGGAGGGGATTGCAGCTTAAAAGAAAGCTTCATATTCTGAAGCTCCAGATATCTGGATTTTACACTGTCTACCTGTCCGTAAGTATTCCCATTGTCCTTCACTATGAACATGTTTAACAGGAGCGAGAAGCTGTACGAACCGCATTTTCCAGCTTTTGTATGATCACTGATGATCCCCGGCGCTTTTCTTTGAAGTCATTTTTCTTACGAACCGCATTTTCCAGCTTTTGTGTGATCCCTGATGATCCCCGGCGCTTTGAAGTCATTTTTCTTTCTCCGAAGTTAACGAAAACCTTCCAAAGTTGTACTGAACATTTAACACAACAGTGCTAAGCATATTGCTGATGAGAACAGATGAGTTTTTGAAAAATCGAATTTTTCGGTAAACCCCAAATTTCGACCTGTGGATCATCGAAAATTTCATGACTTCAAAACTTCATTCGTTCTTATCAGCAACATGCTTAGCACCGTCAGGTTAGATAATCTGCACAACTTTGGAGGTTATTCGTTAACTTCGGAGAAAGAAAAAGACTTGAAAGAAAATCGCCGAGGATCATCAGGGATCATACAAAAGCAGGAAAATGCGGTTCGTACAGCTTCTCGCTCCTGTTCATCATGGTCATAGTGAAGGATAGTAGGAATACTTACGGATAGGTACACAACGTGAAATCCAGGTATCTGGAGTTTCAAAATATTAAGCTTTCTTTTAAGCTGCGATCCCCTCCCCGGGCAATGTTAGTGCATGCGGCCCTTAGTAAATCGCATTATGAAATGCTTTTTTAGATGAGGCGTCTTTCTCCTCAAGATACGAAAGTAAGAATTACTGCGCCACAGGTATGTCTGTCATGAGTTTTGGTGTATCGCTAATACAAGCATATTCTTGTTGCTCTTGCAAGATTGTTACCCACTTGACTTTCTGCTTTACCTGCTTGAAAGTTGAGATTTTCAGAGCCTTGTAGCGTTGCTTTCGTGGCGTAAGAATTTCAGTCGGCATCAACAGCTGCAGAAGTCTTGCGTTTCACATCCCTAATTTATAAGTAGAAAAGTCGCAATCTTATTTCAAAAGACAAGTAATGTATATAGAACAAGATGCGATATTCAAAAATCTCTCTATATCTCTCTATATAATAAAGCGCACGGTGTCTCTCTGAAGCATTCCCCCCCCCCTCGTGAGATGTCAACAAGTTTGTCGTTGCGTGCCGCTGCAGGGTTCATGACTCATCACTACGCCAGTGATGTCCGACCTAGACGATGTTGATGACCTAACCTCCAAAGTGCAGTCTGCAAAAAGTTGAAAGCTGTAAGCGGTAACATGCCGCTGCAGGCTTACAGGGTTGATGACTCATCATTATGCCAGTGTTGTCCGATCTAGACGATGTTGATGAAAACCCTAACCTCCAAAGTGCAATCTCGAAAAAGTTAAAAGCTGTAAGCGGTAACATCGATTGATTCTGTCATCATAATACGACGTCTCTATTTTCGATTGCAGCAGCACCTCTACTCGAGTCATCGGAACAGGTCAGCTATCAGCCCCCCTCACTTAGCACTTTCTAAGAAGAACCTCAGTTTAATGTCCTTCGGTTTTTTTTGGAATTTTTTAGAAGCAGTTCTCGCTTGGCAGAAGCTTAAACTCAGTCGAAAATTCTTACCGTAATCCTACAGTAAATAAGAGAAATCGGTTTCGCTCCATACTGTAAATCTAAGTTAAACCCAGCTCTACCATATGACACCCAAAGATCCGCGGAAGATTCTCAAAGGAAGTTATTGAAGAAACGTTCGATACATCTTTTTGGAACACTCTGTATAATTCTTCTATAGAAAGTTGCAGTTTAGTCTAAAGTGCTTCTCACCATCACCTTTCGAATTAAGAAGTTTTTGATTTCTCATTCCAAAATCACATCAATCTGTAGTTTTCACAATCTCAGCCGACTTCATTGTTATGAATAATCCTAGATTGCCTCTCTCTTTGGGTTTGTTTCCCAAGAGATCGACTTCGTATCTACTCATCACTACCATTCGCTTTCTAAAATACAAAATATTGAGCTGCAATTTTCTGCTACAAATCAATCCAGTTTTGTGATTTTCCTCAACCTTTCCAAAATCAAATCAATCTGTAATTTTCACAATCTCTGCCAATTTCACTTTTACTGATAAAGGCGTTTCTGTTCGAGTTCGGCAACGGCAATTTCCCCTTCGACTTGCTTTTGCTATGACCATCAACAAGGCTCAAGGCCAGAATCGAATGTAGGAATTCATATCGGAACTGAAGTCTTTTCTCATGGGCAGCTCTATGTTACTCCCTCACGAGCGCGAACAAAAGAAGGTGTAAAAGTGCTCAAAAACGGTACGAGAGTAAGAAACATTGTGATCAAAGCGGTGCTCTAAATTCCTATGACTAATTAAACAAAGGTAATGCGTTCTCATCTTCTTTTTTACATCACACATCGTCGTAACATCCCAACACTCGCCTTTTAGGAATCATACCTTAGGCCAGTGGCTCAAAATTAGTAATTTTGTTCTTCTAATCTACAATGTGACTGGAGAAAATTTGACTCGTATTGCTGTCTTTCCCTTTCAAGAGCTCAATCATTGAAGAACCCACTGCTGAACTTTACTGAGAGATTTGTTTCCATTTGTACATGAATCTTCGTACAGAATGCTTTTTGCCTAATGCCTGATACTCCATTATAGTGCATATATATCAGAAAACCACATTAAAATCGAAACTTTTCTCCGTGTCTTCGCTCACGCTATCTCACTGTTGTAGACTTCAGCAAAGAGTACTGTTTTGTACTATCTTATATATAAAGCTGAATGTCTGTTTGTCTGTATGTATCGTCGACTCTAAAAATCGTGACGACGGTCTGCAGTGCGGCCAGTGCGCGTCGCACGGCACTGCCGCTTTATCGTAGGGCAATCTTGCTTCTCAGCAGTGTAGGCTCTCTGCGGTAGCCATGAAAGTTCCTGCAAGCAAGAAAGATGCAAAAAGAAAAAGAAAAATCACAAGAACTCACCTTCTCCACGTAATTTGGGCGAATCACTAGGCGGCAGTGCCGTGTGGCGCGCACTGGCCGCACTGCAGACCGTCGTCACGATTTTTAGAGTCGACGATATGTATGTATGTATGTATGTATGTGTGTACGTATGTTCCGAATAGAAAATTCCATTTCTGAACCGATCCGGACCAAACTTGGCACACATACACTTCGGGCCCCGGCGGGTGTCATAGGCTACTTTTCGTCATCGATCAATATCGATTTTATCGATTTTTATCGATTTTTTTGCTGAGTTTACCTACGGGGCTGGGAGTTGGCACAGGGGGGTAATCGAGCATGGGGATTCCGAATACAATATTGGTTTTCAGGATTATCGATTACTTTTATCGATTTTATCGATTTTTTTGCAAAGTTTGAGCTAGGGGGCTGGGAGTTGGCACAGGGGGGTAATCGAGCATGCTGATCATCCCCAAGGGGGGTGATCAGCATGCTCGATTACACACCTGTGCCAAATTCCAGCCCCCTAGCTCAAATTTTCAAAAAATCGATAAAATCGATAAAAGTAATGGACGATCTTGAAAACTAATATTGTATTCGTAATCTGCATGCTCGATTACCCCCTGTGCAAACTCCCAGCCCCGCAGGTTAAACTTTACAAAAAAATCGATAAAATCGATAAAAGTAATGGACGATCCTGAAAACTAATATTGTGTTCGTAATCAGCATGATCGATTACCCCCCTGTGCAAAATCCCAGCCTCGCATGTCAAAATTTACAAAAAATCGATAAAATCAATAAAAGTAATCGATAATTCTGAAAACTAATATTGTATTCGGAATCCCCATGCTCACTTCCCCCCTGTGCCAACTCCTAGCCCTGTAGGTGAACTCTGCAAAAAAATCGATAAAAATCGGTAAAATCGACATCGATCGATAACGAAAAGTGGACTGTGACACCCGCCGGGGCCCGAAGTGTATGTGTGCCAAGTTTGGTCCGGATACGGCGGAGCCGGGTAAGCCAGCTAGTAACACATAAAATTCAATTATGTGAAGCAGATTACAAGCTTTTCCCGAAACTTGAAAATTATTAATGTTGCAGTCAGATAAATTACAAACCCCTGATTCACCTGAACCATGGTTCATTTTGTCATAAAGCGTTCTCTTCTAAACTATAGCAGAATTCCTTTTCAATAAAATGTGATGAAAATGAAACATCCAATCAAGACAGTACCTCTTGGACATTGCCCACACCCACTTACCAGACCAAAGTGCCGCGAAGCGGCACTTTGGTCTGGTATTCTATATATCCGAGACTATCATTAACTATTCTTTTATTGTCAAAGTAAATTTATGTACAAAATCGAACCCCACTCGCGCCTTGTTTATCTTTATCTGTGCGAACCAAACAACTAATTTTTTTTCAGGAACGCTTGTATTCCACATGGATAGGAGGCTCAATTTTAGCGAGCTTGGACACATTCCGAAAGTTGTGGGTTAGTAAGAAAGAATACGAAGACGAAGGGAAGAAGATCCTACACCGGAAATTCTTTTGATCTTCTTTGTTCTACGGGTCCATCAATATTTCTGGGCCCATTTGTTTATCCTTTCAGTCATCCTGTAAATTAATCCAAACTATAGTGTGTTAGCCATTTGCTTGAAGGATTCATGATGGCTATATGGTTTTTCCGTTGTGCTAAGTTATGTTACGGTGTTATCCTTGTTGTGCACTACAGTTTAAGTTATGCGCTGTGCTTTATTCTTTGCTATACCATATTTCTTATAGCCATCAATTACCCACGCATATTCGCTCATTCATGTGCGTCTACTGTGCACTTCCTCCTTTGCTGATGTGTTTTATGAACACGCAAATTTCCCATCTCTTATCAGTTGTTGAAGATCTTGATGACATTAATATTCAAAAGGGTGTTTTAACTACAGATGTGTCGAGTATTGATCAGAAAGCATTGATGTTTCCAAACCGGCTAACCCTGAGCTGAGCCATTTTGTCGGTAGCTAAGTCTGCCTGCGATGCAATTTTCGAGAAAATGAGGCAGGTCAAGGATAAGGTCAGACATATGTTGAGGTAAATGCTGATTAGCTGATTTTCTTAAGGAATATGCGGTCATGCTCACCCAATGCTCTGTTTATGACTAAATTGTCAGCTACAGATCAATCACGTGCTCCCATTTCCGCGAGCGCAATCGCCTTGCCAGAGCTTCGCGCTACGTTCGCGCGTATGGCGTGCGGTCCGCACGCAGAACATTGCGTTGCGTATGCATACAGTCTGCCCCAGTCCTAACCAGGCCAAAATTGGCATGACGGGAGTCCGCGTTTAGGGTTTCGCGGTCACGCCCACAGCCTGCTTCTCTGCTCTCTCTGCAGTCCCTTTGCTCTCTCCGACAGCGCGCATACGCAGCGCAAACCTCCAGCGCTGCGAGCGCGCAAATTTATGCCGACGGTTTGGCCTGATACCGATTGGAGCAGACTGTACAGTGCGTTTGACGGGGCCAGCACAGTGTAGTGCAGTCCCGCGGGGGGCACGCGGAAGGCGACAATCGGCGAAAAATGGAGGCTGTGTATCATTCGTCTCAATGACTTTCACGGATTTTTACTTGTGGCATTGAGTAATGTATCTGCCCCCACCCCCACCTCCGTAGTCCCCCGGGTAACCTTAACACCGGAGAGTTTTTGATAGGCACAAAATTGGGGATTGTCGCCTTCCGCACCACACCCCAGTCCCGCACTTGCGCGCGAGCGCTACCGTCGACTGCAGCGTGCAGGGACATGCCGCGCAAAGCGGCGTGGTCCTTGTTTTAGCGCTCCTCCCGCTTCCTTCTCAGCTTATTCGCTGTCCTGCTTCCAAATTTCTGAGGAATTTCTGTTTGAAACTCTAGTTAAGGGATCGTTCATACCGCGCACAAAGGCGGACGAAGCCGCACAAAGACGGACGAAGGCACGAAGCTGCAAAAAGGCGGACGAAAGCGGACGAAGCCGCACGAAGGCTCACGAAGGCATGTGTGAGTGTGTGTGTGTCGAGAGAAACGAGACGAGGCGTGTGTGAGTGTGTGTGTGTCGAGAGAAACGAGACGGGACAAGACGCGCCTTCGTCCGCCTTTGTGCGGCTTCGTCCGTCTTTGTGCGCGGTATGAACGATCCCTAAGTACTTCTCGAGATCTCTTGAAGTTCCTCGAAAGGAAGACGAAGTGGAGGTTTGAGGTTTTCAAAAGAGGATGTAATTTGGATCATTTCTGAGGATTCTGAAAACGACTGGTGCTCTTCCTCATTAAGCGAAAATTGAATATTGTAAGATGTAATCGTTTATCGTATGGGTTGGGAGAACAGTTAGAGTGAACAGCACTTGGGCGCCGTTCACTTAAATGCAGCGTCCGGGCAAAATTTCGCCTCTCATGTTTCTGCCATTCTGGGGCCTTTCCGTGGCCCTGATTATAGTTGTAAAGTCCAAATTGTTCAAAACTCCCAAAAAACCCGGTTCTTGGGGACCCTCTCTTCAAGGAGCGGACGAGTTTCGAGTTGCTCGTCCCCATCGTCATGCCAACGGGAGGAGCCGCAACTGCAGGATGCAGTTGCACTGCATGTGCAGGGCAACTGCAATGCAACCGCACACCTGCGTAAGCATTCGTCCTCAGGGGTGGTTTGTGATACGTATCACAGGCCCGTATCTCCTTTTAGAGGGCACGTCAAAGGATTGGACCAACGCAGTTTACAACTATGTGCTAATCTGGGTGGATGGATCTTGCCTGGACGCTGCCTTTGAACCTGATAACGATTTATGTTGTTGAAACACGAGTCAGTATAATGAATCATGACATTCGGAATTAGCCATCCGAAGAAGGCCTGGATCAGATGAAAGATGTCATGGAAAAACTCTCAAAGATTTGATATCTCCTTCCTGTGCTGCGAAAAAAATCATATCCGGCGCCAAGACAGATCGCATGTGAACATAGAAGCTAGAAAAATGGCAATCCATTGCGACAGAGACGGAAAATCACGAATTACAATGATAGAAACAAGGCCCGCGATGTTCTGCGCAGCATGGTCTCTGCACGCTGCGCACGGTAACGCTTGCGTGTAGATGCGTGACTGCACTACGCGGCGCTGGCCTCCTCAAACTGTAATTCCTACGAAAAAAGGAGTTATTGACACAGGCTATATGTTTCCATTAAGAAAAAAGCGATCAATTTATTAAAGATGTGAAAAAAGAAACGGCCTCAGTAAGGTAGAAAAACTCGGCCAAGGTCTTACTCCAAATTCTACTCCACCTTTAATGGTATTTTGCATCAAATAGGTCCATATAAACGAAGACGGATGGGGTGTACCGTCTTACAGTTCCCAGCAGCAACCGTTCAAGTCTTTTACCGTTGACTGCTCGGACCCTTACCGCCAACTCAACACTTGGAGCTGCGGCGCGGCTGCTGAATGCCCTGAACTTGGGTGACTAACTTTTATCTGTAACTACAAAAATGATTTGAAGGAATGACGTAACCAATGATGATAACAATAATTGAGATCTCAGGGAGTTCATAGATCCAGTTGGATCCACCCAAAAGATTTCCTCTGAGCTGAAAAACTTTCCTGAAAACCCTAAACTTGGGTATGACCCCCTCATTTAGAAAACTTGTGCAGCGACTGCGTCTTTCATAAATCGGTATCTATCTATTTCAGATCTATGGACTCGTATAGGTGCCATGTCATTGTTGAGTGAGAATAAGCTAGTGAAAAGCTGATGGAGTAAACTTGTAATAACTTGTCTGGCTGGTCTTCGTGGAGTACTCGACCATGACATTTATAAAGGTACAAAACAAGCAACAACCAACCAACAAAGCCATTTACAACAATAACATTTTTGTTACGGAAGCGGCAGCAAAGTGGTTGTCAAATCCATCATAATAGCAGATTATCAGCAACGCAAACGACGAGACTCAATAGCGGCAGGATAGACAAAGAATGAGATCTGGGCACTAGTCCCTTCTTCATGCACGAAAATGCTGATTTGCACCACGCTAAATTCGTAACCAAGCTTGCTTAGCGAGTCCGGCCATGGAAGAGGGTGACCTGAAAAATTTTCGTATATTGAAGGAAGCGTCCTGGCAAAATGAGGTTGCTGGAATCACAAAGAGTTTTGCATAGCAGCTTCCCTTCACCTAAGCGATTGAAGTCCAGAACAAAATGTGCTCCTCCAAAGCCTTGAATATAATTCCACTCATCCAGCGGTAGACTGCAACCCAAAGCACGCTTTGTCGCGTCAACTGCTGTGATCAGCAACCTTGGTGTGCGCTCTGCTCCCTCGTCGAATTCAACATTGAGGGTTCGGGCTAAGTCCGTTTCTGACATTTTTGCGGTCTAGCTGAATTGATCCAGCTGGACAGTCAGGTACGCGAAAAATCTTTGGTGTAGCCTTGACGCTGCCTTCAATATATTAGGTTGTCCCGAAAGTTTTGTCGGTTTCTTCAAACCACTGTAAAAGCACGCACAATAAACACATGAATGAGTTTTAAAGTGCATTCGATGCAACTTTCTCTTCTCTTTCTTATGGTTACATTTTCGAACCGCGATCCTGTATGCTTTTTTTTGATAATTGCCAAAATTTTTCACCAGCCATTTTTATCTGCTTGAAGTTAGGCTATTTTTCAAAAATTTCTTTCCAAAGTTTCGGAGAGGGTTGAGTAAGTATCAAATAGAGCGATCCCAGGACTTTACGGAGATATTTTTTGATTCTCTTAATCTGCTGTGTTTAGCTCAAAAAAATTATTTCTTCGGAGGCCTTGATTTTCAGCAAAGTCATGAAAAACGCAACTGCAGCAAAAGCAAAAAAACTTTTGAAGTTTCTGCGAATTTAAACTTGATTGTTACTAAACATTATTTATGCAACATAACCAAGTTTGATTTGCTTCAAAAATCAGCTTTTTGGAATTTTCGGTACTTTTACGTGGTAAACTTATTCAAAAAGCCGCGCTTTTTACTGAATAAATAATCATAACGGACTTAATAAACGAGGCTCACGTGATCTAAAATAAGTAAAATGTAGCCAAAGGTTTGCTCTACATAACAGTCACCAGCGCTCCCTTAATATCAGTATAAAAATTTTGAAAATTCAGGAAAGATTTGACGCTACTGCTGAGGTGCTCAAAAAGCCATGGCGATAACATCACAAAGACGGCGTAGATCAGAAAACAAATATAGCTGTAAGAAAGGGGATAAAAATCTGAATAGAATGGTACCTAGGTCGTCCATGGAATGGCTTTCTGTGAGTTTGGGTGAGCGATGAAAAAAACCGACAAAACTTTCGGGACAACCTAATATCTTTCACAGCCAAACAGCGGAGACAAACTTAACTGACGAAAACTTAAAGTCGTTAAAGTACTTCATCGCTTGACTAGATGGTATGGCGCCGAAAGTATTGCCACACGGATATCTGCAGCACACTTCCACACATAACATATATATACATAGCTGCAGCTAGTGTCGCCGTCAGAAAGGGTGAGGTTAATAGCGACATAAGTCCTCTGTCTATCAAGTCTCAATTATTTCCCGTACAGCGTGGCGCAGAAAAATTGATTATAATGATTTTGTCCCCGATGACTAAGAATCGGGAAAAGAAAACGCCGGTTAGAAAGAGGAAAAATTAGAAAGGGGAAAAGCTATATTGAGTGGCACCTGAGTTGCTCGTCGGTCGCTGTTCTATGTGGTTTGAGGATAAATTTGGAATTCAAAAGCATCAAAAAAATCAATTGAGACTTCGAAGAACAAGCTTTGGAAAAGAGAAAAGTGTTTTGCTCCCTGTAGAATTAGCTCCGTCTATCGTAACGCGGACATCCCCAGAAGCGAAATTACTTTCGGAGCGACCTAATATCTGCTATTCGCAGATTTTTGGCAGAAGACTTTAGGCCTTGGAAATACTTCATGCGATCTCAGCCTTGATGAGATTTGGCAATACTTCCATTGTACTACCTCATCGCGTGCGCATTCTAAATGTGCGTAGAATAGGATATTTTCTTATCAATCTATGAAAGTTGTACGTGGAGGCCTTGCATTTGCGGTCTCACAGTATTGGATTTGAAGACATCCGGAAAACTGCCGAAGCCTTAGAATTTGACGAGGAAAAATGGTAGCTTAGTGTTTCAGTGCTATATCGTTTCCCTTGATTGGCAGAAATTGCTCGGAAACTTCACTCCTTTGGTGCCAAAACCTCTGCGGAAAAAAACTTTGGCTTTCCGCAAATTATTGTCCGCAGAAGCAGTTTTTGAGAAAAACTACATTTTTCCAGTAACGGAATGTGGCCTGACAATCCTTTTCGGATGCCTATGGCTAGATAAACATGTGGAAGAAAGGAGTGCTTTGTAGAGGTATACGAACTGCTGCAGAATACTCAGTGATTTGCAAGAAGCATGTTGTGTAAAACAAAATTTATTACTTTCGCATCAACTTATGTCATAGGTGACGAAACTGACAGACTTTTCGAAGTGAAAATTAGAGAATATTGCTATTCGTGAAACACTAGAACAAGATGCTCAAAAGGCAGTTCGGATTGTTTCCTAAAAGCTCGTCACTTTTAATGAGTTTTCAATGAGGCCTTACCACAGCTTCAGTTACATTTTTTACTATATCACTTGTATTTATACGTAGAATGCTGTAGTTCGATGAATAACTGAGCTTGTTTCCAAACTTCGAAAAAAATTCTTGAAGTAATACATATTTTATAAAGAAGAAAAAATGTCCTTATCTTACCCCATAACACTCTTAATCATTATAAAATATTACATAGGTTATTTTAAAACACTGCAAATTCTCTCTATGGAAACTTTTCTGGAGGATTGCTGCATTTTGGTACCTTAACTTCGGCGCTTGAAATTTCATCATTGGGAAGCTATTCGAGATACGGTAAGCGTTGGAAAGAGCAAGAAGAATGCTTGTAGATGGTACTCATATATTGCAACAAAGGTAAAATTCTTCGAAAAATGGCAACTAAAAATCGGACAAAACTTTTAAAACAGCCTAGTAGTTTATATTATCCCAGCAACCGCACCTCGTGAACTCATTCCAATTGAAATGTAGTCAAATATTACACATCTCACGATACCAATGCCGAATAGAAAAGTACTAGCGCGGCACAACTTGATTCCCCTTGGCCAGCGCCGTCGAACAATGTGGCAGCTTAGTTGCGGCATTGAAGAGAGCGACCTTCGTCCACTAGCGAAAGCATGTGGCAAAAACAAAAGAGTTTGATAAATCAAAGTTGATTGTCTCCGCTAATGACTACTCCACTCCACTACAGGCATCGTTGCTAATGCGGCTGCATTTAATTTTGTTTGTGTTACCAATCTATCATACTTCAATCAACGCCTCCCAAACATTTTTTTGATCTTTAGATTCGTCATCTACATTTGACAGACTGTTATTCACGTACTTGTAGGGGAACATCTTGTGTTTTTTGATAATTTGAATGACAGTTACGTGCAAACAACGATCTATATTATGTGCATACTGTTGGTAAAGCAAAATGATCGTATTTTTCTGAGCTGCTATCGTTTATGACAACAGCTTGCTTATTTTTTTAGATGAACTTGCAATTCTTCGTGGATTGTAGGTTCTTGTAGGTTGATATTTTTCAATAGGTGCAGTTGTTAACTTACCTCATGGTCCTATAGGTTGGCACTGTCGCTTCAAAGCACTAGTTCGTTTGGATATTGCGAGCAAAGATTCACTCTATGCATTACATTCAAAAACTGGTGCGTCCAATACATGGTTTTTCCCATCAATTTGGCTATTTTTTGAAATATAAATTTTCAGTTTTTCAATTACCATTGAGAACAGAATAAACAAAGTGCAATGCCATTTTTTGGCATCTCAAGCTGGCTTCTCAAAATCTTTGAGAATATTTTTCCGATGCTATCACATCCATTTTTGCATCCCAATCCTCACATAACAATAAACTGTGACCAATTAGGGCGCCATTCGATGCAGCTTCTTCTCCTCTTTCTGATGTATTAGGTTGTCCCATAAGTCTTTTCATACCTGATTTTTCAAGGACATAAATCAGTTCTTCTTGAACTCCTGATGAATTGCAGGGTACCATTCGACAGATCAAAGTAAGCTCTACAAGATGGCGTTCAAAAGTTCGCACCAAGTCCAATCCGCAACATGCTCCAAGCCAAAATAAAAAAATTTTCCGAATTTCCGAAAAAACGAAAATCATCATATCTCAGTTCAAAACAGCTATGCAAATTTCCTTTTTTTTTCATGCATATACTCTCCTCATCGGATATTTATAAATGCACTTTCTGCGTTTTTCTGATGGCTAGAAACCAAGAAAAAATAATGCGCTCAATTTTCAAACTTTGCCTATATCACTTCTGTATTCCCCGCAAGTAGGTGATTATATAGCTTATTCGCTCAGAATTACTGCCAAAAATTTGCAGCCTACTAGGTGCTGTAGTTCCTGAGAAAAATCGAATTGAAGGTCCGAATATGAAAAAACTTAGGGGACAACCTAATACATTTTTCCTTCCTGACTTGTATACTATTTGAAGATGAAATCATTATAATTCTTGTTTCCAAACTCGTCCCAGGCTGTACACGGAAAACTGGAATCCAATATTTCGAACCGCTAAACGCTCAGTTGCTGCAAAATCAGTGTTAAGTCATAAACTGTTTTTGGAAGCTTCAAATTCCGAATTTTGTCAGTGTTTGAAGCAGTTGTGTATTTCACGACTTCGCAAAAGTGAAGGCTTTTGGTAAAACTATTTTAAGAAATACTGAAAACCTAATCGATGAAGCCAAAGTGGTTCGTTGTATTGCATTTTGTTTATTCTATCCAGCTGTTATCAAAGTTAGTCCGAAAACTGAAAATGGAGTTTTCAAAAATACTCATACCCCATCAAAAACTGTTTGAGGCGTTGTCTATCATTATTCTGAGTGGTTTCTGCATGGGTCTGAACAAGGTAGGGACTTTCAAATCGACCTAATACTTCAATTTTTCACAGTCTTTCGGGACTGAGGATAACAAAAGCATTTTCGAACAAGTTCACTTCTGCGGTATAGGGGAGGCTTTGCACTACCACATCGCAGAGCTTTTTCCGTCATTGTTCCTTCCAACAAGCCGAAAAAGATTTGCGAACGTTAACTGTGTGAAAAGTCAATTTTTCAAAATATGAAATCTGCGGAAGTGGCAATCAAATAATTCAAGGCGATTCTCTTTCCAAACTCCGCAAAACTTTTATAACATGTAGTTTTATTCAATCGATGAGGACAGTTCCAAACCTGATCTGAAGTCGACTTTTTGTTTTTTCTTCCGCACACTCTCCTGTTTGTACAAATTTGCGTAGCGCACACTCATGCCTTTAATTTGATAATTCTCTTACCAAACATTCCTGGATTTTCCCAACCAAGTATGTTGTGGCCGAAAACTTGCTTCACTATGCTGCACACTTTATTTTGGTAAAAGCGATTTCCATAAAGTTTCACTTCGATTATTGGAGCCAAACTCCCGTCTTGCACATATGTCGTCGGCAATCTTGTTTCCTGAGTTAGAGTTAAAAATTTAGAAGTGACATAAATAAACAAATCACATTATCACGCCACAGGTAACGGATGGATTGAGAATAGTTTTGGTCTTTGTTACATTCTTGTCACTAAATACGTTTGAATTCGCTGGGTGTCTTCAGTGTTTCTTCACCCGATTATCAAGCATGACTTTTGGATTGATCTGTCCTCCCTTAACGCGAGATGGTAGATCAATGTGTTTTCAAAATCGAACTTCTAACGAGCTCTTAAATTTATTAGCCTACTCATCTACACTTTCACCTTTGTTTGAATCTGCGCTATTCCCTGATATCTGGACTTTGAGATGGATTCGTTATTTTCCTTGCTTCTGCTTGTTCTCTGCGAGTGGCTGGTGAATGGTGAAATTCTCGATTCTGCTACAACAAAACCTGTAGAGCCTTGGTAAGCCACTTTTCAAGACCATTCAAACACTGATTTCCAACGCTACACTATTTCGTAGGTACCCAAGGGAGTTTATATTTGCCCCAGTGGAGATGATTTCAACACCAATTTATGATAGAAACAACGAGCAGGAAGAGCATGTGCTCTCGCTAAAGAGAACAGATATGTTCATCGGACGGAGGCAAGTTTTGTCTTTCATAGTTGATTTGTCGACCGCACGGACTGGACATCACTACGGAGCACGCGCCCGAGGTAAAACGCTTGTCCCAGTAGCTCTCGCGACAATTCAGAAGCGCCGCGCATGGTCCGCAGCGTTTGAGCAGTCCGTGCGGCCAACGAATTGACGATGCTAGGTAAAATGTTGATCTCGATTCTGTAGACGTCGCCGGGCTGTGAGGGAACCTTCCCCGAACGCATTGGACGATCAAGCCGCAGCTGCGATATTTGGCGATGAAGGGAAGTGGGACCACAAGCCCAAACATAGCGAAAGTTTAATTTATTAGCTATATCATGTATTTGCCCGAATTGAGGTTTGTAGGTAGGCCCGCCAGCCCCACCGGATCCGGTGCTCTACAATCGCCAATTCGCCGTTACGCCATCCAACATCCAGCGAGAAAGTCAGCATCGTTCAGACAGTGAAGACGATAGTTCATCTCCTTCCAACTCTCACCCCAAAACTCCGCCTGGAACATCCGCTCACACTGCTCCCATCGGAATTGAGCAAGGCCCGTCTCCGTCCGAAATGAAGGAGAAAATTCAGCAAAGATCTGAATCTAAGTCGAGCAAGGATGCTTCATCTTCTAGCACAACAACCAACCCTAAAATTCCTCTTGGAATACAACAAGGACGCACTGATTCTGAATTGCAGGACAAAATAGACCAAAGGCCGAACTCGGATCATCTCTTTGAAAAAGGTGCGGCACATACTAGTACTCAGCAGGAAGCGAAACAATCGTCATCAAACAGTAGTTTTGAAGTTGAGAGAGAAATGCCTCTCTCCAAAATTCAATCCCAAGCTGAGCATGATATGGAACAACATAATATTCCGGTCGGGATTGAACAAGGGCCTACTACTTCCGAAATGAAGAAGAAGATTGAGCAGAGGCCACTCCCTAGTCCCAGCGACGATCATTCATCCTCCAGCCAGCAGCCAGAGGACCACACAGCTGCACCTGATCCGAAAGTTCCTCTTGGAATCGAGAAGGGACCATCTCATTCTGAGATGCTACGCAAAATAACCGAGAGACCATCATCTCAGAGCCCCTCCGACGAGTCGTCTTCTTCTAAACAGCCTGAGTCTGAAGAGGCATCAAAATCTGGCGATCACGAAAATCAGCAAGGATCATCTTCTAATGTAGAAGACAAACTCCAACAACGACCGCTATCTCCAAGGCCTACTGGTAAACTTTCTTCCATCAGCATCCAGCCCAAGATTCAGTCGGAGCCATCCCGTCACAGTCCTCCTCTCGATCGAGAACAATCTCCCTTAACCCTGCAGCATAAGTTGCAACAAAAGCCATCTCTTACCACACCTTTTGATGACTCTTCTGCTCAAAATCAGCAGCAACTTCAAATATCTATCGATACTCGTCCAGGAAGTGAACGGAGACCGCCTTTGCTCAAAAACAAGCAGAAGTTGCAGCCAATTTCCCATCAAAGTGATACGGATGAGGAACAACGACCATACCGTCCCAGCATGTCACTCCGGACGCCATTGATGTCCATCGACGTGCAAGAAAGACAGCGTGGACCAGCATTTTTCTCACCGTAATCACATAGTTTCTTGTCCAATACCGTAACTTATCCTTTTCCTAATTTAGGCGAACACGTTACCTTCCGCTCGCGACAAATGTTGTACCGTTCGACAGCCATGTCGACCCAGATTTCCCAGCGGAAGCTCCTAGAGCTCGTGGTCTAGTTGATGAAGGCTCCCCCTTCGTCGACAATGATTTTCGCACGGGTTACCGATTTAGAGCTGTAAGTTTGATTTAATAGTTTTTCAATCTTACTAACGATGAGAGTATGCACATACCCACACTAATTATTCGGTAGAAAACGTAAAAACCGGCGATCCGCGTTTTCTTCGTTTTTTCTTCATAACTTCCTTCAGATTGTATAAAATATGACTTCGAAAAAAACGGAATTCTCAGCGCAAGGCGACTCTTATGATATACCACATTATCGTGCCATTTCGTACTTGATTTTGGAATGGATTTTCGCAGTGGTGTAAGGCAGCGAAAAAAAAACGTGGAAGACTCTAGTAAGCTCGATAGAACTGTCCCCGTAGAGTATCACCTGCTAACGGTTATCGGGCGATCTCTTTTCCAGAGAGCAAGATAGGCCAGTGAATTTTGAAAAAATCCATGTCTTTCAGCAGAGCAGGTGTATGTTCCGTAATCAGCAGGCATAACTTCTATACGCAAGTTTTCCAAAAAATTCGGGCCCTCTGATGTTCTCGCGATTCAGGCTTCGAAGGCTACCGACTAATTCTGGTTAGAATATTGATGTTTTGGGTTCAACGGAAACTTCGCTCGCTAAAGGTTTTCCGACCCGCTGATTACGAAAATGGTGCTCCTTGTGCACCGTAAATCTTTCTAGCAGGGCTATGCTGAGAAAAGTGCTGTGATACTACGCAACTTCCTAAATTTGTCTGCACTTTTCGCGTATCTGTTGGATAACTTACCTGCTCCTTTTTGTTATTTGAAACTAGCGACCCTAAGGGCCGCTTGCAAATGGGTTCGGGCAATACATTTTAGCCGAATAATTGTCACCACAATTACCTCTACGTTCTATATCTTGTCACCACAATTACCTCTACGTTCTATACCTTTTCTGAAGTTAGTTCCGAAAAACATGAGACTGATTAACAATGACCTTTGACTCTCTTCCAAAAATCCTCTTTGCTGATTAGACGATATCGTTTGACCTTTTAAAAAATTTCTTTGAGCCAAATTTTTTTCACCATTTTCCATTGGAAGTCACCAAGCAGTCGTTCGAAACAACGATGTAGTCTACAATAACTTATCGTTAGCTAAACACTCAAAAATATACCTTAGTTCCCGACAAATTACGGCAGCGAGAAAAAGCATCTTTTCTCATGCCCTACGTGTCGCCTACAGACCACTTTTTGTGAATGAACACCGCTCCCGTAATGCCTACAGAGCGATATACGTCAGAGCTGTCCTCCTATAGAGTGGTAATCTGAGAAAATACTGCCCTTCGAACCACAAATAATATTATAAGTCTGGGATAAATCTGTCATACACGAACCACAAATAATATTATAAGTCTGGGATAAATCTGTCATACACCCTTCCCCCCCCCCCCCCGCAAACCAATATTGCAAGGAAGCCGTATGGGCCGCTCAGACGGAAAAGCCTGCCCTAGGGGCCGCCCGCGGACGGTAATCAGTCATTAGAAGGAAAAGGAAGTGCCCTATGGGCCGCATACACATCCTCATTTTTGAGTAACTGCCCTGCTGCTGCTTACGAACCGATATTTTTCAGAAAAAGAATATTTTCAAACTGACCATGAAAAAGGAATCTATGAGCCGCTTACGGACCTTCACTTCGAGGAAAGGTTGCCCTGTGGGCCGTACATAACTTTTCAAGAAGAAATTGCCCTTCAAATCAAACCAACTTACAAAAAATGCCCTAAGAGCCATTTGGAGACTAGTATCATAGGAAGCAACCGCCCTATGTATACTACAAGCTAATATTTTGAGAACAAGAAAAGCTATGAGCTGCTAAACATATCTTTCATCCCCACAAACCAATATATTAGAGACTAACTACCCTATTTTCAGGTGTATAAGCCGCACTTTTTCGAATTTTCGCCCAAGCTGCTCAGCCGCTTCATTGTGTTTGAAAAAGCGATCCTTATGCCGCACGATTCTTTCGGGCAATACGCAGCACGGTGTAGGGTTTTCTGGATGCGAAATCCATTGATGTGTTCGGGCTGGTCGATGTAAGCTAGGACCACCCCGCGGCTTATACACCTGAAAATAGGATACCATGCGCCGCTGCAGGCAGGTAATTATAAGAAGAAAAGGACCTATGGACCATTAATAGACCGATGTGTTGAGAAGTTACAAGTCCCTACAGACCGACCTTTACAAAAAAGAAACTGCCCTGTAGGAAGCTTATAGACAGGTTCTAGAAAGTACTGCCCTAAAAGCCTCTCCCCCTCCCCCCCCCCCCCCCAACAAACCCATACCTAAGGGCCGCATGCACTAACCTCCCCGCTGGGAAGGGGATCGCAGCTCAAAAGAAAGCTTTATATTTCGAGACTCCAGAAACCTGGATTTCACATTGTGTACCTATCCGTAGCAGTGGCGTACCCAGGATTTCGGCTCGGGGGGGGCGCGGCAAAAAAAATTTTTAAATGGAGGTGCGTGGCGTTAGCCACGCACTCCGAAAAAATTTTAGGGGGGCTTCTCAACAATTCTGCGGGCCCCCAACCCCTAAAATCTGGGAAAAGGGGGCGTGGCGTCAGCCACGCCCCCGAAAAAAATTTTTTTATAAGGCTAATTTGAATTTTTAAAAAATTTAAAAAATTATTTTAATCGTTTACAAAAATAAACAAGTCATTTGCACATTTTTATAACGCATGTAAGTAACTTTCAAAAATTTCGCGACCCGTTCTCGGGGGGGGCGCGCGCCCCCCCCGCCCCCCCCCTCGGTACGCCACTGATCCGTAGGTATTCCCACTACCCTTCACTATGAACATGTTGAACAGGAGCGAGAAGCTGTACGAACCGCATTTTCCAGCTTTTGTATGATCCCTTATGATCCCCGGCGCTTTTCTTTAAAGTCATTTTTCTTTCTCCGAAATTAACGAAAACCTTTCAAAGTTGTACTGAACATCTAACACAACAGTGCTAAGCATGTTGCTGATGAGAACAAATGAGTTTTTGAAAAGTCAAATTTTTCGGTAAACCTCAAATTTCGAGCTGTGGATCATCGAAAATTCCATGACTCCTATACATCACTTGTTCTTATCAGCAACATGCTAAGCAGTGTTGGGTTAGATAATCTTCACAACTTTGGAAACTTTTCATTGACTTTGGAGGAAGAAAAATGACTTTAAAGAAAAGCGCCGGGGATCTTCAGGGATCATACTAAAGCTGGAAAATGCGGTTTGTGCAGCTTCTCGCTCCCCTTCAACATGTTCATAGTGAAGGGTAGTAGGAATACTTACGGATAGGTACACAACGTGAAACCTAGGTATCTGGAGTTTCGAAATATAAAGCTTTCTTTTAAGCTGCGATCCCCTCCCCGCGGGGATGTTAGTGCATGCGGCCCTAAGAAAGAACCGCGCTGAGGCCGCCCTACATCTTACGACCCCCCCCCCACCCCTCCCTTCCTCCGCCAGACCGATAATTATGAAAAAGCATTGCCCTATGGGGATCAGCCCAATATTCTGAATTACCCTACAACGCTACAAATTGTACTGCCCTACGAGGCGCTCACGTGCGATCTGCTCTGTGGACAGCCAAAGACCGAAATGAAAAATGAAGCTACCAGCTACTTAAAGACCTACACAATGATAGTTTGAAGAAAAACCGCCCTTAGAATCCATACAAACCAATATTTTGTGATAGGACTGCTCTACGGGCCACCTAAAAACCGATACCTTTGATAAAGAACTGCCCCATGAAGTTCTTCAGACCAATATTTCAAGAAAAAAAAACTGCCCTATGGGTCGCCTGCAAAGCGATAAGCACTGAAAGGAGCCGCCCTATGGGAGGGGAAGGCTTGCAAACCGACATTTTGCGACGCCCCATGGGACTCTTGCAGACCATTATTCTGGGAAAGAACTGCCCTATGGGCCGCTTACAGACCAATATATCAAAAAAGAACTAACTACAAACCCTCAAATCAATATCTTAGAAAAAAATAACAGCAGTTTAACAAAATAGGAAGGAGGGCACCTCGAAGGCGACAATGCGCGCAGAATGTAAACAATGCAAACTGTTTTACTGGCTTTTAAGAAAATGTTACTGATGGCATAGAGTAATGTATCTGCCCTCACTCCGCGGAGGACGCACAGGAGGAACCAAAAACTTAACTGCGTATGTCCGCAGGAAATAAATAAAGGGGGGAGCACTGCGGAGTGTCCCAGCCCCGTAGCTCCAATTTTGCAAAAAATCGATAAAATCGACATCGATCGATAACGAAAAGTGGACTGTGACACCCGCCGGGGCCCGAAGTGTATGTGTGCCAAGTTTGGTACGGATCGGTTAAGAAATGGAATTTTCTATTCGGAACATACGGCGGAGCCGGGTAAGCCAGCTAGTTTAGGATAATCTCACACCCATTATACTGACTCTGCCAAAAAAAAACACGTTAACTACAAGCAAAACCGCTCGAGTTTTAGAACTTCATTCATTTATGACTGTCCGAAACCGAAGTCGTCAGTTAAGTCGCTCAACTCTGGAACGACATTAGTTCAAAGAGCAAGAAGATTCTGTATTTTCAAAACAGGATTAAACTCGCATCCAAAACGAAATGCAGCGGTTCATCGTTAGATAGTCAAAAAACGGGTCCTCATGCCCTATCTGTGGATATAGAGGTCAAAGTCTTTGCTTACGATACGCACTCGAATAAGGCCTAACTCCGGGAACTGTATGGAAATGTTGCGTTAATGTGATATGAAAGTCGTTTCAATTTTGATAGCTCGTTGTTGGAATACAGTATCGAGAACGTGTTGAAGATGCTGGACCCTACAAGGATTGGTCGGTAATCAGCTTGAATTTCAGTTTTTGAGACTATCGAATTCTATGCCGGATCTTTTGGACGTTAATCTTACTTGTTTGATAGGCGTTCCGACTATGATTTAGAATTACAGTTTAAGGCTGCCTTTTGAGATGCTGATCCAAACACACCTTATATATCTCTCCAGTGATTCTTCGAGTAAAATCATGGGAATTTTCTATCTGAAAATTATGTTGTAATTCATTTACCTTACTAACAAAA